AACCTATCGATTGGAAATCGCTGCACATAACACTGCACCATATGGGACACACACACACACACACACACACACACACACACACACACACACACACACACACACACACACACACACACACATAAACACATAAACACACGCACATAAACACACGCACGCACGCACGCGCACGCGCACACACACACACATACCGACAATTAAGAAAACACATAGACACAGGTACAGACGCACGCCCATAGACACCAATACAGGCGGACGCACACAAACACAAATACAGACGGACGCACACAAACACGCATGCACAGACGGTTACAGTACTGCTGGGTCACCTCTGCAATAGCAAAGAAGACGTGGTTGCAAGCGACCGTTGATGTGTGCATAGTATGCATACGCATATAATTATAGTGTATCCATCCCAGTGCTTACTCACCTGATCTCTGATGCTGGAGACTAACTCTATACATCTTATGACGTACCACCACCACCAGGTAGACTATGAGCACGAGTGCGGCCAATACCACTGCACCGCCAATGCCAATGTACAGGCCGGCCATGCTGGCTTTCGCTGGTGGGGCAACATCAGTTTCGCTCGACGAGGAACTGATCATCCATGGTAGTGATCCTTCACTGCTCAGTGACGACATACCGTCTGACGATGAAGAAGCTATACCAGAACAAAGAGTGAGACACAGCAGCGTTCAAATAAGCGACGAGGCGACAACTGTTTCAGAATTACGAACAAGAGCACGGACTGAATCGACATGTGTAATGGCTGTAGTGTACTTGGAAAAACAAATGAAGCATGCAAGTTGACTTAGGCTTTCATGCACAATCAATTTAAAGAATATATCCAGCACTGGCTAAGTGAACTTGAATGATTCGTTTGTTCTTCAAAGTACAGCAAAGCCGTTACACATGTTGACTCAGCTCGTCCTTTTTTCCGGAATTCTAAAACAGCAGCGTTGTCAATAATCCAGTCACACAGACACATGATCACATGATCACATGGTCACATGGTCACATGATCACACGGCCACATGGTCACATGATCACATGATCACATAGTCACATGATCACTTGCTTAGAAAGTTCCAATACCGGATTATTTACATGTCACACATGCCAGTAGCTAGCTTGCATTGCACATCACATTGCACATCACACGGATGTGGTCCGGGCCCAGGGGAACAGCCGGCATCAAGCATCAAGCTCTTCACCCGCAACGACAAAAATATGCTATCCATGACCACTGTCGTGGAGTCAATGGGAGACTGCATTGGTATGCAGTTCAACCCGTCGAAGTCCAGCTGGCTCACTATGAAGCGGGGAAGAGCCCAGAGTGATCAGCAAGCTGCTCACTGGACACTCCTGGGTCACGGCATTGCCAAAGCTGCAGGCAAACGAGTCTTACAAGTACCTTGGTGTTTCGGAATCTGCCCCCCCCCCCCCCCCCCGCCTATTTTCACCATCACGGAGCTGAAGACCACTGCAAAGTCTGAGTTTGGCCGCTGTCTTCAATTGATATGCTCTTCTCAATTGAACGCCAGGAACATAGCCACAGCCATCAATACCTTTGCCATCCCAGTCAACCTCTACGCTCTGTGCATCGTTGAGTGGACAAAGGCAGAGATAGAGGAGCTCGATCGTCAAACCCGCCAGGCACTGTTCAAGGCGCCCGCCCGTCACCCCAAGGACTCTGCCGCCAGGGTCCATCTACCCCGTGACATGGGTGGCTGAGGCATTCTCTCATTCCGAGATCTCCTGGATAGAACTCGTGTCCGGGTTGGGCGGTGCCTAGAAGCTCGCCCAAACGTGCAACTATTGGCTGCTGTTAAGCGCAATCATGAACATGATGTGGCACCATCAAAATCAGTAACAGATCAAGCCCCCAAACTTCTGGGTGAACTTGATCTGCCCGATCTCGTGACAGCCACAAAAGCTAATGTCAAGAAAGCAGTCGCCCACCGATGCCTGGCAGTCATCCAGGGGAAGCCTCTTCATGGCCAGTTTTGGAAACGTGCTAATGACGTTGGTTTAGATCTGCGTCTGAGTTTTCGCTGGCTGAAATCACCATCGATAAGGCCTGCGACTGAGGGCCTCTTGCTAGCTGTGCAGGACCAGGCCATCGCAACGCGGAACCATCAGGCCACGGTCATTGGTCGGGCAGATGTTGCTGATGTCTGTCGGGTCTGTGGCACGCGCGGAGAAACAGTGGATCATATCGTTGCTTTTTGCCCAGCCCTGGCCAAAACATTATACATTAAAAGACATGACAGGCTGGTTAAGTTGGTGCATTGGGCGCTGTGCAAGCGGCATGGTCTGGTTCAGCCGGGAAACAACCCGTTGAAGCACAATCTGGTGCCCGTCATAGAAAACCATGACATGAAGCTCCTGTGGGAGCTCAATATCCCAACGGATACGCAAGTGCGTCATAACCGTCCGGATTTGGTGTTGCGGTCCAGCACACAGGTGCTACCGATGGATGTCCGCGTTCCCTTGGAACATAATGTGCCCACAAAATCGCCGAAAAAATAACAAAGTATGTTCCCCTTTGCCAAGAGCTGCGGCGCATCTGGCATGTGGATGATGCCCGCGTTGTGCCTCTGGTGGTTGGAGCGCTTAGTGGTCTGACTGGTGCGTCCCTTCGCACTTTGTGCTGGCATTGGCAAGCACTCTGCGCATCGAAAGGGCCCAGCAATGTGCTATCTTGGGCACACTGAACATCGTCAAGTCGGTCCTTGGCATGCGTCATTAGGCTCCTCACGATACGATTATAGTTAATCCATACAACCTTCCAATACCGCATTTGCTTTGGCACCCGTGAATGTGCAGCATGTCGGTTATCACAACCTGATTATCCTCTTGCCATTTTGGTATGTCATGGCTCTCATTTCTTTCTTTATTCCTGCACGTCTATCCCTGTTATGACGGTCATCACAACCTGATTAAACTCTAGCCGTTTCGGTGTGTTGTGGCTTTCATTTCTTCCTCCACCCCTATGCGTCTATCCCTGCTCTGGTATTCCATTCATGATTACTCTCTCCGTATCCGACTTTGTCCTGGCCTCCTCCATATTTCCGTGTATTTGTGTCCACCTCTCAGTTTCTGCCTCGCCTTTGGCTATTTTTGCTTTTGTTTACAATCCGCTTCGGTCTTCATTGCGTTGGCCATCCATCTAATTTTTTTCTTCTTCTTTTTTTCTTGCCTCAAACTATCATTACCCTTGGGTCTCTTTTGGCCCGGTGATGGGGTTCTTACCTCATGTCATCACAACGTGAGTGAAATAAAGCCAACTCCATAATATCAAGAGTACATAACCAAGAGAGTGCAACTCAACGATCCCCCAGGCCACTGCGGAATTTTTATGACATCAGTCTTTGGCGGCTGTTTGGCTCGATGATGCCATCATGTATAGCCAGAGATCAAAGTACAAAGAATTTGTACATTACAGCTACGGTAGTCGAAGCAGAACAACGGACGATGAATTGATGTGTCCTGAACCTGATGAACTCTCACCGTATCTACAAAAAATGCGCGGGAAAGCATACGCACTTGATCATACTTCAGCCAAAGAATGATGCAATGAAAAAATTCCGCCGTGGGTGAACCCATCGCAGCTCTAGATAGGAGTTGCACACTTTTGGTTATGTACTCTAGATAGGAGTTGCATACTCTACTTTTGGTTATGTACTCTAGATTGTATGGTTACCAATAACCCAGTGCTCTATGACACCGCTTCTCTAAGTGGAATGTATCGTGACACCTGCTCAGGTGCCTGTCAGTCTGCCTGCCTGTGTATCAGTGGGTATGCAGGCATTATCGGCTCTGTTACACGTTACCATAGCAACCTAGTTTGAGTATCTGCCAAACGGCATTATCCTTCCACGCTCTTTGCCCCCAAATCACTTCTTCTTTGCAGGCATGGTTGGCATGGAGACCTCGCTTACACTCCACCACTAACAGTGAACTGGGATGTGTGGAGATTCATAGCCAGAAAGGCACATCATCTGGTATGATATTATCGTATGTACTTCAAAGTACATGGATCAATTGTATCACATTATTAGTACAATTGGCACACTCAGTTACCTAGCGCTAATATGTAGTCTGTCGTGGTCACACATGCACTGAGGTTCGCTTCGGCGTCGAGGTTCTGCGACAGCGAGCCTGGTGTCGCTCCAGCGAAACCACGTGTGTATGGTCACACATACAAACAGGGCAAACTCCTACTTTGGCGGAAAATGAGAGTAAAGTGGACTGTGGTGCATACGGTACGGATAATAGACGAGGTCAATGACCACCTTAAGTACCTTGCACGCATTTTTGCTGCATGGACATCATACGCATACACATTTCTCGTAGCAAGTCCATATACAGCAGACCGTGGTGTTTTCCGCTGGAGCGAAACCGCAGAAGCGATAGTCTCGCTTCGAAAATTTTGGAGGAAGCGGATTGGAGTTTCCGCTGAAGCGGAAGTTCCGCTTTTCGCCGTTGTCATGGTATTTTTCGCTCCTGCGACGTCGCTTCAGCGGATCCGCTACTTTCGAGTGCATGTGTGACCGGGCCCTTATAATAATATCAGTACGTAAGGCACATTCCTTACATGCGTTGATCCATTCTACCCTGTTCACTGCGCCATATTAGGTTCCACAAACTTGGATAAGTGAGCCAAAGCGAATTTCTTCTTTGAGAATGTGATGCTATTCTCTCACGCACGCTGCAAAAGCGAACGGACACGCTTCACATGATCATTGAAAGTCGCGTCATCCACTAAACAGGCATCTTAATCTGTAGTCTGTACATACGCCACTTTCCTTATGTGTTGTGATTTATTCTACCAAGTTCGTGGAACATACTGTATAGCAGGAAATTTTCGGACGGAATTTATTTTCGTACGATTTCTTTTGCACTAAAATTAATTCCGTACTAAAATTTGTTCATGTGAAATTACGTACACTATACATGCATACTGCCTACGAACACGTGTATTTAGCATGCACTGATGCAGCACTGTACGAACATATAATCCGTACGAAAGGTCGAAATTCGGCTTTATCCGAAAATATTTCCGTCCGAAAATTTCCTGCTATACAGTAAGATCAAGCAAACATAAACACACTGAATACTTACAAGGCGGAGGTGCAGTGGTAGTGGGTCTTGGGTGAACTCTGTACAGAACAGGTATACTTAGTAGTGGAGAGTTGTGTGGAGACAGGGCAAACTCGTACAGGCCATCCTTGAACTGGACTGACTCATTGAACAGACTGTAACTACAGATGTTTGACTGGTTTGCATTAGTAAAATGAGTACACTCGATTTGGTGCGGCCTAAACCAGAGGCTTAAGTTGACCAGGAGGTTGCGCAGAGGGGCTGTGGGCACAAGGATATCATTTGCGCTGCCGTTCACGGTGATGAATTGTGAGTGATTCTTGGCCAGGTCTGCAGCAGCAGTGTCAGCTGTAGTACGAGAAAGAAAGAAAAAGGAAAGAGAGAGAGAGAGAGAGAGAGAGAGAGAGAGAGAGAGAGAGAGAGAGAGAGAGAGAGAGAGAGGGGGAGGGAGGGAGGGAGGGAGGGAGAGAGAGAGAGAGAGAGAGAGAGAGAGAGAGAGAGAGAGAGAGAGAGAGAGAGAGAGAGAGAGAGAGAGAGAAGAGAGAGAGAGAGAGAGAGAGAGAGAGAGAGAGAGAGAGAGAGAGAGAGAGGGGGGAGGGAGGGAGGGAGGGTGAGAGAGAGAGAGAGAGGTTGGTATCGTGAGGGTGATTGTTATTTAACATGGTTGGAGACACGATTTTAGCTCTCTGTACTGTTTGTCGCTTGCACTAAGGGTTCTTTCGGATCACACAATTGCGTTGACAGGATCACACAATTGCGTTGACAGGATCGACAAGACTAGAGAAAAACATGCATGGTCTTACCTTGCTGAAGGGATTCGGAAAATGTGTAGATGATCCGGCCAGCAGATCTGATGGCAAATCTCCCTTCAGATAAGGAGAGATTATCCAGCTGGTAAAGTGTATTCTGTGTGTACACACTGTCTACTTTCCACTCTGATTCTAACCAGCTAAACACAGTGATGTTTGAACTCACTGCTGCTTGTCCAGTAGAACTTAGTAGCTCGACAATGGATTCACCTGTACATAGGGAAGTGCAGCACATTACACTCAGTCATATCATGGTATGGTGAATTATCATAATAATAACCTACTAGTATTTAACATTCCATGTGAATTGCTATAAGGGTGGAAAAGGAGGGGGGTGGGGCGGGGGGAGTGGAGACTGGATGGTGAGATGGTGGTGGAGAGGGAGGGGGGGGGGGGGAGGGGGAGGGGGGAGGGGGGGGAGGGGGCATATCACATAGTATCCCGGCTAGGTAAAACCCCTTTCCTCTTAAGTGGTACGTCAGCACAGTCATCAACCAAACGCAAAAGGCCTCAATCCTAATTGACCCATCTATGTCTTCCCTGTGGCAGACAAGCTCCCAACCGGGTGTGAATGGCAATATATTCATACGACATTGGAGATGTAGGTGCAGGATCACCCCTGCCCGCACCACTATCTCAGCCTGAAGACAAATGGCAAACATCTTGCCAGTTGTTTCTGGCTATTCCTGACTATGGGACCATACCGACCAACACGATCACATACAGCATTCCAGCATGGTCAATGGTATGCCTGCCTTCACTTCACATTGCATCTACGGATGTGCCACTAACAGCATGCCAGTATGGTCAAGCCCTGCCTGCCATCACTTCACATTGCATCTGTAGCAAAGTTCTGCGCGCTTTATGGATTACTTGTGTTTGGCCTGGTTTACCATAGATTTTCAGGTTTTTTCCCTTTGCGTCACACTTGCTTTTGCGGAGGTGTACAGCACAGCGTACACCATGACTTTGTAACTCACGTTGTATTCCCGGATACAACCTTCTCATAAACGTGCCGCGCGTTTGTATGAACCTTGAACTCTGCGGTACAAACCAGTGCCGTACCGGCGTGCATTTGTACACACTGAGCTATCCGACTTGTTTAATTTTCTTCTCTGCCGTTGCCTTTCTGCTTCTTACCCACTCGATTGACAACAAGTACTCTATTTTCTAATCGTACAGCCTTGGTGTCGTGGGTGAATTGGTATAGTAATTGGAGCCGCTATCCTCCAAACATCTACGGATGTGCTAAGCAAGCAATACCCAAGAACTGTACAACACACAGCACTAACTGTAGCAATGGCGGCAGATCAGAACTGTACAAGATACGGCACTAACTGTAGCAATGGCGGCAGATCAGAACTGTACAGGACACAGCACTAACTGTAGCAATGGCGGCAGATCAGAACTGTACAAGATACGGCACTAACTGTAGCAATGGCGGCAGATCAGAACAGTACAAGACACAGCACTAACTGTAGCAATGGCGGCAGATCAGAACAGTACAAGACACAGCACTAACTGTAGCAATGGCGGCAGATCAGAATTGTACAAGACACAGCACTAACTGTAGCAATGGCGGCAGGTGAACACCCAACTTCACAACATGCCCATGCACAGAAAAAACAACAAATAATTCGGAAACAAACATCGCATTCAGCGTTGTACCGCCTCCGAAGCCCATGTCCTGGTCATCATGAAGTCTCATGAAAAGCTCCTCACCGTTCAGATAGCGGGGATGTCAGTGGGGAAGATATCACTTACATGTGTGTGCGGACGTCCTCAGATACCCGCGTTTACACACGCACCGGTCTTCATTAGGCACAACCACCAAGTTGTCGCTATGGTTGCAGTACCCTTTAACAATGAACACAGCAACGCGCACAGCAACGCGCACAGCAACGTGCACAGCATCTCACCTTCTCATAAACGTATCTCTTATCGGCGATGGGGCCATCGTGAGAATAAAGAATTAACAAAAAAAAACATTTCACAGCAGGAAAAACAGATCTAGTTTGTTTAATTGTCTGGACTAAGGATACCGGTACATGGTGGCGTTAATTGAGCATTTCCTGGATTGACAGAACGTGATCTTGCGCTATATACGCGCGTGATGATTAGGAATGAGCAAGATGAGCCGTACCATGGCAAACATGGAAGCCTACTCTAAAATCTGTTCCCTGGTCAAATAATAACCTTATTGCCATTTTCATACGATCCCAAGCATAAGCATAAGGCAGTGCCGGAAATTAGGTCTATCAATGCCCTATTCATATAAGCCAACGCCTCTATCCATGGGCATCTACAGTGAACAGTGTCGTGCAAAGCAGACCCTTTTCGAATACACATGCAGAGTCAATGACATTGTCTTATGCTATTCAATGGTATAGAATAGAACTGTTGAAATCGACCAGTCTATTTTTTGATGAAGTCCTGAGCAGAATTGATCACACACGTACATCTAGTACGCCACTTGATGCGAACATATCGGGGCACTTACAGGACACGCAGATTGTTGGACGTGGTACGGTGCAGGAGTCGTGATGTGTTGTGTTGGTTGATGGTTGGTAGATAGTGCAATGAGACCCATCAGTGATGTTGGTGTATACCGGTATGTAGCTGACATTGTTGTTACTCAAGACTTGCGATGTGTTCAGCAGTTGTGAGGCACAGCTGAGTTCCTGCCCGTCTGTAGACAATGGACGACCACCATATTGTTGATAGCACGTCTGGTTTGCATGATCTGCTGAGAATGAGATGCTATGGTATGTATACGTGCGTGAGTCACACACTATAGAAGCTGCTTGTGTATCTACAGCAACACAGACAAGAGTAGAACAGATATACAATTATGCCATCTCAGTATCACACGTTATGCAGAGTTATGATCAGTATCACACGTTATGCAGAGTGATGATCAGTATCATGCGGTATGCAGAGTTATGATGATGTCTAAAATGCCGAGGCACTGGCAAGAGATGTGCTACACACCTGTTATCTACGTGATCTATTCAAAAGAGCCGTATCAGTGAATAACAGCAAGAAGAGCCGTATCAGTGAATTATAGCAAGAAGAGCCGTATCAGTGAATAACAGCAAGAAGAGCCGTATCAGTGAATTATAGCAAGAAGAGCCGTATCAGTGAATAAAAGCAAGAAGAGCCGTATCAGTGAATAACTAGATAGAAAAAGAGATGATCAAAGAGTAATCCAGATGATGGAAAAGGCAAAGGAAAGGTAAGAACCTGGAAAGGATCGGTCCCGCACTACGGGGTAATTCCCATCGTGGCTAGGATAATTTTCAATTCACACTCCAAAGTAAGAAGTAGGACGACGTTTAAAAAAAAATGAAACAATAATTATTATCCTGCTGCACACATTTCTGTATCCGGGCCACTTCAACATGGATATGATTCACTCTTCCCAGTTCAAAGGAGATAGGTGAATTTGATTTGGGTACACAGTAACAGTTTCCTTGGACAAACTACTTGACTCAGTACCGAGAAGAATAAAAATGTCCTGAAATGAATTCCCGAAGCTATGCAAAAGACGTTGCTCTAATAGCGTCTGGCGCGAGCCAGGGTCCACATCGCTTTATTTTGTATCTATGTGTGTGTGTGTGTGTGTGTGTGTGTGTGTGTGTGTGTGTGTGTGTGTGTGTGTGTGTGTTTCTGTCGCTGGGCATGCCTGGCGCTATCCCGTACATCTCCCGCACCGCACCGTCAAAGACAGCTGGCCAGCATAAGTATGCGACGTGTATCGATGGAATGCGCGCAGGGTTATAGTGCGGCTTCGAATCCCATGTTGTGTTGAAATAACCGAAAAAATAATAGATTTATAAGCTTGCACCATAAAAGCAAGTAAAAGTAAATTATCGTGTCCGTTCCCGACATTGTAGACAGCAAGCTGTTTCGACCATAAAGGCGCCATCAGTACAGCTTTACGTACGCCGAGCTACCGAGAATGGCGCAAAGGTGGAACCACAGACGTTAACATAACTCGTTGCTCTAACACCAGAGTGCTGTAACTACGAAAAGTAGTGGGCAATGCGTGACGCAGCAGCACTAGAGCAGTCCACCGAGAGTGCTCAACAAGACTAATGTCGACGAGCGTAATTCCCTACGCCGTAGACAGCAAGCTGTTCTGGCCTATAAGCAAGCTGAGCTACTGGGCATGTCGCAAAGGTGGTACCACAGACATTCAGATATTTCGTTGCTCTAGCGTCAGAGTGCTGTAACTAAGAAAGTAGCGCCCCCCCCCCCCCCCCCCCGCCCCGACGCAGAATGCAGCAGCACTGCAGCAGCCTATCGAGAGTGCTCAACAAGACGAATGCCCAGGAGCGTAATTAACACGATACTATATTGCGCTATGATGCTAGCTTGTACATTTTCCATTTTTTCTAATATTATTATAACTAGCTGGGTACAATGTACATGTCTAGGAGTTATCTTTTCAGTTATGTATCTACTGGCGTGGACATGGAAATCCAGTCGATTGACCGGGGCCGGCGCCCTCAGCGTGTACAGAACGTTGCATGCAGTGAACAATCATGTTGATCTGATGCGACCAGCGCGCTGCAGCGCATAAATGCATGTGTTTACCGCTTATCCACGGCTGCATGGCCAGCGCCCTGGGGCCAGTACTCGTGCGACCGGATTTCCATGTCCATGACAGTATGTATGTTCATGAGCTAACGTTTTTACCTAGGTCAGTATGTGTGTTATTCGAAATTCGCATTGTTCGTCCGTAACAGAAGTCGAGACACGAATCGCAGATTTGTGCCAGGACAGTCATAAATTTACTACTCTGTACCGTCTGCAGACAATGTTGGTCGTGTCAACGTCATGCATATGCGAATTCTGTTTGCTAATGCTAATCCTTCTCATAACGTGAATTCCGTCACTAAGTTCGACTTCTCTTGGAGTGCGAACACGAACGCGAATTTTGTGTACTATCTACCCCCATTCCGCTAGGTGTGCTTTAACATACATTTCCATTCTACAACCTAGAAGGAGTCATCCGACATTATCGATAATTTGTACGGAACAAAACGTCTAGGTACGGCCCTGCCCCATCCACCCAAACCACTGAGCAAAAAAATATACTGACTCGACGGCTAGGAAAAGCTGACGGTACCAATCTTTTCCCCAGGTAACCAGTGGATCAATGAAATGCACTGATATGAGCTCTAAATTTCGAAACTTTCGAAAGCAGCCGCCCCAACCCCACGAGTAAATTGTACTTCAGGTGGCAGACTGTATGACCCTAAAATGCTTTCCGACGCCCCTGGTTAGGCTATCAATACGAATTCTTTTCAAAAGGAAGCTCTCCTCGATCCACCCGAATTTCAACGAAACCTTTTGGTTTCGGGTAAAAGATCCGAAATTATTGACGGCCCATAATGCTGTTAGGCCATCATTTTAATATCTATTTTTCGCATCGTCCGTGCGCATAGGTTGTGATTTTCCACTGTCGTTTGATACTAGTAATATTAATTGTTTCACTATCCAGTTGGCGCCACTAGCGCTGTCTTTTAAAGCGCTAATTGGTCTGCTTTGATCGCCAATTATTAGTTGGGGCCACTAGCACTATCTTTGAAAGCGCTATCTTGTCAATGCTCTGACCAGTCGCGACATGCTTGTTACCTTGGTAACCACCATGATGACCCACTTGAAAGGTAATGGTACGAAAGGCGTAGTCGAAACTATGATTATAACTTCTGTGCTTCGTGTGTTGATTTGCTTTCCTTCAACCAAGAATCTATTGATTTTTTCCGGAAAAAATCAAACATGCACATGTATATGTAGAGTGAATGTACGATCATGACAGTCATCATACACATGGACTGGTTGCATACGTCAAAGCAGTGAGTGTACGATCATGACAGTCATCATACACGTGGACTGGTTGCATACGTCAAAGCAGTGAGTGTACGATCATGACAGTCATCATACACGTGGACTGGTTGCATACGTCAAAGCAGTGAGTGTACGATCATGACAGTCATCATACACGTGGACTGGTTGCATACGTCAAAGCAGTGAGTGTACGATCATGACAGTCATCATACACGTGGACTGGTTGCATACGTCAAAGCAGTGAGTGTACGATCATGACAGTCATCATACACGTGGACTGGTTGCATACGTCAAAGCAGTGAGTGTACGATCATGAGAATCATCATACACGTGGACTGGTTGCATACGTCAAAGCAGGAATTCAGAGATGGCCTAAAGACCAGCGTTGGTAAATCATTTGTTCGGCAGCTGCGATCAGCACTCTATGATCTTACACCAGACCTCATCGAAGCATGGACACGAACGGTTGCCTTCTCTGTCCAAAGTGAATATTTACCGATAACCCAAATGTTGTGCTTCGATGTACGATTTTTCTCTCGAATGACTCATGCACGAGCTATTGCGCTATATACAGCGCTATACACCTTCGATGAGCCTTTTTATTTTTTGCAAGTGTATTTTATATTTTTTCACCTCTCTCATGTGATTCTGGAAGTTGAACTGATGCGAAACGTAGAAATAAAACACGGTGGCCTTAAAAGACAATAATTCTCTCACCAGCATTCCGTCCGCAGACGACTGAATATCTTAGATCACAACGGGTTTCCTCCAGCTCTAGTGGCTGCATTGCTCCTCCAAGAAACGCAACCGAGCAATTATCAACAGTGCGTTTGATGTTAACGAGGCCGTCTGATAACTGCAAGTTGTTTCCAACATCACGGTAGTGAAGTCCATCCAGCAATCTAGTGTAGCTGGTGTGGACTTCGTCAAGAACAAGCAACGGCAGTAAACTTGACTTGCATGTCGTGAGTTGGGGGAAGCTGACCAGGTGCCTGCCTTGACGCTGACAGAACTGCTCGGCCGGAACCCATGTCATTCTGGTGTTGGTGACGTATACCTGATCACCGCGGTCTCCACAATCAAACCACTTGTTCCCTGCATTAACACAAAGAACATTAACCTTATATCGTCAACACTCAATGTATGCAGAGAATTAGATACTTGAGAAAAGAAGAAGGACAAAATGTTACGAGTTATGACTAACTGTCCACCAACGTAATCAGATTTTATACAGTCAGCGAGTGCGACAACATTTTGTCCTTCTTTTTTCACAATTATATAATTGGCTCACCATCCGAGTTACAATTAGATACCCTCTACTTTTTACCTTGAATAGACTACTCCCCCGAAAAGATTGTCTGTTTTCGATGAAATGAGCTTGTGTTCAAGCCAGCTCGCGCCAAGTACATCGTTTCGTATTTAGTGTGTAGGTGTCCGCTCACGGCGGAGGAGAAGTAGACTTTTGCTCCTCAAACTGAAGCTAAAGAATTTGGTGGAGTCCTGCCAGCAGCTAGTCAACGGACTGTCGATAGCTCAGCTAGAGCCTAAACGGAATGTGGAAGCCAGCAATCCATGGCAAGGAAACGAAGATTAGCACGGCCATCAACTTTCTATACAAATACAAGCCAGGGACATCACATGGCAATGGAGGGGGGGGGGGGGGGGGGGCGCTCCGTGGGCGTCCCCGGGAAAAAAATTAGATTTTTCGGCCAACATGTACAGGAGCCGCAGAAGCTTCATCATCTCCGCAGACCCGAGGTTGTCGAAAACCCGCTGTTGTCTCAGTTCTGATTACAGGAGGTATTAGAGAGGTTCTGCATAACGTAATTACGTTAGTAAAAACCGTAGTCGATCTACGGATAGTCTTACGTAAACTGCATGCGCATCTGTGTTCCGCCATACAGAGTTTTCAAATCACGTAGCTGCCCTTGGCAACTCCGAACGCGGCAGTGTACGACCAGATCGACCTGGGGAGAGAGACATCAATTTGTACTTCCTCCGCGTCATTAAAATTGCCGCTTCGCACATCACAATATTAACTTGGCTCGTCTTAGTCAGACTGTCGGAATCGCTGTTTTCTGTGTTCGAACACTGGTGCAACCCTTCCTGCGCAATGTCTACTTGTTACTGAAGCCGTGGTGGTCTCGGACTTTGTCGGAGCTGTCTTCCGCACCAAGCAAATTCATCGCGCTCCGCACTATTCCGCCCCAGAGCGCATTTCGTTTTCTGGAGTTCGTGCCGTCCCACATCGTTCGAGTGGGCATTTATCAAGACTGCAAGCTCGGGTAAAAGAATCCTGGTATCTCTCCTGAGTACGAAATGCTGAAGTTGACGATGGCAAGAACAAAGTGGTCTCAAATTCCTAAAATGCGCTGCTTGTGGCGCATGTTGCTGCGCAGGCAGCAGGTCTGAAAACACTGACAAAATCAGCGAAGCGCTTGCCAAGGAAAGAAGGTTTGGAACTGCTTACCCTATCCCGCTGGAAGGTTGTTACAGTGTACTTGAAAAATGCTAGCTTGCCTTCATCGCCTGCCACCTGGAGGCATGGATCGCTTGAAAACGAAGTTTCTTGACCTGAATTTGAACGCGCGTCTTCTTCAGCGTATTCTTGAGTGCTGAAGGGTCTGCTTCAAACTCGGATGAAGATGTCGACCTTAGCTGCAAGTATGGCGAAGCGGGAGGCCACAAACTAAAGCTTGGTCCGTCGACAATGCTCTGCCTCAATTTCTAGCTGATTTCTTTGCCCTTCGAGTGGACAAAATAAATTCGAAAAATCGCTCTGGGAAGCGACAATTTTAATGACGGGGAGAAAGTACCCCAAACCATGTACGGACCAGCTACATTGTCAGAGCCCTATCTACATACTCTACGTAGACAACTTTCCGCATTAAAGTGGAGTGCAAACTCGCGAATCCACGGGTTTTTCCCGCCCACTAAAGTGAAGTTGCTCAACTTTACGTAGTGCGGAACCTCTCTATGATTGTCTTCCAGGAACATCAAAATTGTCTCCTTGTCTGTGCTATAGAATGCTCTCCCGCGTGAGGTCCGCATCATTACCCATCCACCTGAATTTAAGTTAGTCTGTGTGCCATATCTCATTCCCGCTCGTTCCTCATTCTTTCTTCCATTTGGCAAATGCTGGATTTTACACATTGTGTAATTGCTCAGCGTTATTTGCAAACTGATAACAGTAATAATGTGTGCCATACGCCTGTGGCGAGTAGCTCGATGTGCTGCACGGTCTTCTGCTCTCCCTCTCTGTACAGTTCATTAATTATCAGGTGGCAATACCGGTATATCGTATTCAAATCCCTCCCGTTTGTTCTCAACTTGTTAATAGGCACTTCCATAGCCGCTTCTTGGCCAACCCATCACGATCATTTTATTAGGTTGTAATCCTATTTGAATGTGCGAAGTACAGTTAAAGGGGAAGTTAAGGCAAAAATTAAAATTTCACCAGTTGTAGTCTTCGGGGTGCTGAGTCGAATGGTCTTGGTCCGAGGAAGCTGAGACGCTCCCTTTCTACTTGAATCCCAATCGAACTCACGCACTTCCACCAAAACTGGGTGACTGCGCCCTACGAGATGGGGATTTGTATGCAAAATGTCACTAAAAGCGCCATTTCGTTCTTATAAAAGCACGGATGACCGCGATTGGCCCATATGTTGTAGTCTTTTGGACGCTGAGTCGACTGGTTTTGGTCCGAAAAGGCTGCGATGCAGCGTTCGCCCCTAATTCCCAATCGAACATGGTTGAACAAGCGGTCACGTGCTCCTGCGTACACCAGTCACCTGGTCACCGTGCCTGCAGGCTATGCTCCCAACTCACCTTTCCTTCCATTGGCAGCTGGGTAGCTACTTGCAAACACATAGTTGCCATAGCTACCCACGGCCCCTGTTGCTATAGTGTTGCAAAAGAAGGATCCACGAGCGGGATTCGAACCCAGCACCCATCGTACCCCCCCCCCCCCCCCCCCGCGAGTAGGTACGGCATGGGGACACAGCCTGTTGGGGCGGGGGAGCAGTGTAGCAAGAAGGACCCATGAGTGTGTGTGATTCCGGGTAGCCTAATCGGTAGGGCACTGTCCCGGAAAGACAGGGGTGCTGGGTTCGAATCCCGCTCGTGGATCCTTCTTTTGACTACAATAGCTACCCACGGCCCCTGCTGCCATAGCTACCCACAGCCCCTGTTTGTTGCAAAAGAAGGGTCCACGAGCGGGATTCGAACCCAGCACCCCTGTCTTTCCGGGACAGTGCCCTACCGATTAGGCTATCCGGGATCACACACACTCATGGGTCCTTCTTGCTACACTGCTCCCCCGCCCCAACAGGCTGTGTCCCCTTGCCGTACCTACTCGTGGGAGGGGGGGGGGGGGTATAGTGTAGCAAGAAGGACCCATGAGTGTGTGTGATCCCCGGTAGCCTGATTGGTAGGGCACTGTCCCGGAAAGACAGGGGTGCTGGGTTCGAATCCCGCTCGTGGATCCTTTTTTTGCAACATGTTGAAGTAGCTACCCGTGGCCCGGGTTACCATAGTCACCCAAGGCCCCTTATCGTTGTCGACATTGCAATTGGATGGAATGACCAGGGCCACCGGCACTCTCACCCACACACACTGTAGTTAGCATTGTGACTGCAAGACTGAACCAGTAGCCAGTGCTCATGGCCGCAAGGCCAGCACCCTATGGCCCCTTGACTCAATGGATTGCAATGTCCAAAACAGTACATAGAGAGCGATTGTGTTTGCATCTGCAGGATTGCATTAGAGTTCTAGTATGAACTCATATCGTGGATTCGATTTCAGCATTGGAGCACGACGCTGACTGAAATATTGTAACTCCCGGACTTTCCAGGAAGATTACGATCGCACAGTAGAGAATAACCGCCGAATAACCGCCGTGGACATGGAATAACCGCCGTGGACATGGATATCCAGTCTATTGACTGGGGCCGGCGCCCTCAGCGCGTACAGAACTGTGCTTGACCAGCGCGCTGCAGCGCATAATACAAAGTCGTGCATGTGTGCACTGCTTACCCAGGGCTGCATGGCCAGCGTCCTGGGCCCACTACTGCACTAGATGTGCGACCAGATTTCCATGTCCACGACAGTACAACTCACTACTCATAATGCATGCAGAGGCATCTTACCAGATATTTTCTCCTCATTCGTGGCCGTACATGGCTTCACATATAACACGAACAAGAGAAGCTGATTCAGAATAATTGTGGACGTAACCAAGCGCCATCGCCGTTGACCATTTGCACGATTTGTAGTCACACGCTGCATTCTGAATTCTAGTACTTGCCGTACAGCTGTCACCACGGGCGCTTCCACTTCACCACCAATACTTTGCATCCTGAAGTGGCTCTAGTTCTAGCTCTCAACGAGGCTGCCCATGAGTCAATCGACTAGAACATGTTCGATTTGTTGGCCTGATCCAAAACTACCTGACACGACACACTGGCTCTTGCACTAGTCCCTACCGTCGCCGACAACCACCTGAGGTCCGTGGTTTGGAAAATAAGATTTTTGCCGAATCAGATGTTACCCAAACTCGGGCCAAAGGCAAAGGGTGACCAACAAGCAGCTGCTATCTCACTAGTGGTCGGTTCTGTCTCTGTCAGGCCTTCTCCTCTAGACTACTCTGTGTCTGTAGTCTACTAGAGACTGCTGTATTCTCTATCTTTCAAGATGAGACAATGTTCACTCGTCCTGCCAAACACTCCACCCGAACTAATTACTTCCGAAGTCGAACATTATTTTTTTGTTGTTGCATAACGTGCACTACATAGACCCTACGTATACATGACAGTACAGACACTTTTTTCATCTTCTTTTTCTTTGCTTGACTGTACAATTACAAACAGGTAAGCAGAACACACATGCACAGACAGTACAGTTTGACTTTGACTTTGAGAGTTGCGTGTTGTTCGCCCCTACACTGACTGGCTCAGGCCAGTCAGGGTGCAGCCACATTCAACAGAACTACAGTCACACTGTACTCGGACTCCTCGTAGAGCGTTGAGGAGCACAGTCTAGTAGTCTACATGTATGTGTGACCGCTGCATCGTATATCTTTGACTATGGTCCGCCAAAGCGGCTGCGGTAGTTCCGCTTTCCCGTATGTCACGTGATTGTCGCCTTGGAGTTGACCAATGACAGATCAAACAGCGCGGGCTGGAAAGCGCGGTCCTGCCTGCTCAAAGGTGATGGAACTGGATCCACTGCCCGTCGTCAAGTGACGACGGGCAGGAACGGATTCCACTGCCCGTCGTCAAGTGACGACGGGCAGGAACGGATTCCACTGCCCGTCGTCACTTGACGACGGGCAGGAACGGATTCAACTGGCCGTCGCCGGGCAGTAGCCACTGGACTGACTCTACTTCAAGGTCTTTCAAGTTTCATTGGTTACTAATAAAATAACTAAAGCAGAAGAGCGACTGTTTGCAACCACAACTGTCATCATGGCGCTCCAACATTTGATCTGGAACTGGGAGAAAAGAAGCCCCTTTGTTGAACGATATTGGCGATGCGAATGAGCTCCTCCGAAAAGTTGAGGAAGAGACTGAAACTTTTATTGCGGAGTCGCTCGCGAAGGAGATCTTGGACGAGCCGGATGAGCCTCAACCAAAGCGCGCAATGCTCAGCAACCTGCAGGATCCGCGCAATTTGCCGAGGTTTCCGATCAAGACGTGTAGTGGGAAAAATCCGTAGGAACAGAACAGCCAGAATGCCCGATGCCCAGTCGACAATGTCAATGGCCGCGCGAGAAAAAAAGCACTATGGACTACTACAAAAAACTGTACCAGAAAACAATCACAAAACACAATGCAGGTGTGTCTGTCATGTATCTCTTTATTTGGCTTGGGTGCACACGGGAAACACGTTCCAGTCACTCATACTCGGCCAGTACCGCTGTTCATCCAGCCCTTGCCGCTATCGCGGCGCGGGCTGGATTCCGCGGTACTGGCCTCGTACTCGTGCAGGAACCTGTACTTCCGCCTCCGCAAAAGCGGTGCAAGCTTTTCATGTACATGTGTGACCGCGGCCTAAAGTTAAACTCAGCAGAACACACATGCACAGACAGTACAGTTTGAGAGTTGCGTGTTGTTCGCCCCTACACTGACTGGCTCAGGCCAGTCAGGGTGCAGTCACAACAGAGCTATATTGTAGAGTCACACTAGCACTGTGCTCGGACTCCTTGTCTGTAGTGACAGACTCACTGTTATCATGGTTATGTAGGCTACGACTCGAGTGTTGGCGTAGACCTGGTCTAGTGCCAGTGGTCACGGACTCACGGACCCCCGATCGGTGCACGGGTGGTGGACTGAATGCAGTCGTAGAGCTACGCGCCGGCCCGCAGCTGCCAGTGCCAGCTGGCCAGCTGCACTTCTGTTACGTCAACACATCGGGCGGGCCGGACGTGCGGACTCATCTCATTCTCATGCCAGGTTGGAGCAATCATTATCTGTGATCATCCCCCCCCCCCCACACACACACTTTTGTCGATGCCTATTGTAGTTGCAACGCTGACGCCGAGACCTCTGGTCGGTTGAGTTGCTCCCAGCACATCAGCACGTCGTCCCTACATCCCCTATGTTTTGTCCTTTTCCTCGTTTCTTTTGTTCTCCACCTGTTTTCCAGTAGGGCTGTGTCAATAGTAAAAAAAAAAAAAAAAATGCCATTCATGGTGATGTCCACTGATCATGATGCATGATGCACAGACATGATTGTATGCGGTTCCTCTGTTTCAGTGTTTGTGCGTCGGTACCGCATACAGGATCTAGAACGCTACTACTACTACTACTAGATCTACTTGACTGTACATGTACATGTAGCTACTGCATGCACTGCTTGCTGTAGTGTATAAACCATGGGAAACGGCCAGAAACCTGGCCGAAATTCTAACTCCTTAAACGGCTAGTCCAATTGTTCCGAAACCTTTACAGAACAATTTGCCGTGTCCTAACAAGCCACTCTATGTACTTTGCTGTCCAAATTTCCCTTATCTTCATACTTTTTAAGGTGGCAGACTACCCAAAAATTCGCTGAAAATCTAATTTGTAAATTCATATTGAGTGCTACGTCAGTTGAAAGAGCATGAATAGCTGCAAGTTCTCTGAAAATTGTGTCCCGATCTGACCAGCCGTTCAAGAGTTATGGCCGAAAATGTGCCCTTGCAAGGAAAGATTTTTTTGTTGCACGCTGTAATTTGTTGGCAGCACTGTATTTGAATGTGAGCAGACCGTGCGCAACTTGTCGTATCATGGAAACACGCGAAAGTGTGCAATCCAAAAAGTCACGTTTTTTAGCCACGTATTGGGCTGCACGGCGGCGGGCTAAAACCCGCCGCCGTGCAGCAGGACTTTTGCCAGCACCCTCGTGACGTTGCAGATATGTGGCTTGATTATTGTAGTTGACGTTGATTTATAGTGACTTTGGCAAGTTTGAGTCGTGTCAAGAAGTCAGGTAGGATTCAGTACTAGGCACTAGTGGAACGTGAGTGGTAGTCTTTGCCGGTTTCTGAGGGTACCCTGGATTTGGTGTGCAGCGCTGTGGAAATAGGGACCTTTCGCACCCCGCGTACGGATACGAAACGAATGCTGATTCGTCACCTGGGTTCGAGGATTCGTCAGAGTCCCTGCGGAGAACTCGTTTTCACGAATGGAAGCCTCTTCATTCGTGGCACGCTCCGAATCCGTCAGGTACACATTTATTTGGGTAGGTACACATGTTTTGCAAGGTACACATTTTTCCCTTGATTCCATGATCCATGCACGTGTGCGTGTAAAAACCCGTACGCCAAGCTACCGGCGCCCGCGGCCGTATTCGTAGTTGCCATGCACATTTGCATGACGACTTGCGAAACCTGAAATCTGTTTTCAACGAAACGATTACGAGCCGAATCAAACTTTCGTTTCGCATTCGTTTCGTAGCAAATGCGAAAGGTCCCTAATGTCTTGTTGTGGAGTACCAGCACTGGATGTTGTATCAAAGGTACGACCTCGTAGCACGTGCTAAACCTAAAAAAATTCAAAAATTGACTTGGGTCTGTGTGAGTCAGTTAGAAAACGCCCACTCGTTCCGTTGTGACAGATTCCAGGGCCTCGTTGAGGGGCCCTACCCCATCACCCATGCCTTGTTTTAGGTTTGGGTCCCGCGCACGGACAGAATTATTATTTTGATTGATTTTTATTTCACGGATCCTCCAGAGGCAAATAGATGCCTATCGAAGGGAGTCTCCTAAAAGAATGGGCACGAACATGTGAAAAAATTGTAAATGCATTTGTTTGGCTCCTGGGTGGCTCGCACACCGTGGCACTATGCCGGAAATTTGAGTTTTTCCGGCCTGGAAAGCCTGTCAGTGAGGCGCAAGAACTTGTAAATCATTTATTGAGGGCCAGCATAATGGCAGGAGTGTGTGGTCAAAATGTCACTCAAATCCATTGAGAAACACCAAAGTTACGGTCAATTGAATGCCATAATAGGCTGCCCCCTTAAGACCAAAATCTGATTGTAAATCTTTTTGAAATGGACTATAGTGCAGATCAGATGGCAAGCGCAGATCAGCTGGCAAGCGCAGATCAGAGTTAGTGAATCATGTGCACATGTATAGTCTGTATCGGCTATAGAGTGACCGAATATAAGAATATATCGGCTACAGTGATATTGGTACGAAATATCAAAAGCAAAACGTATTTTATCCAGTACAAATATCACTATAACCAATATTATCGGATGTAATGAAACATCGGATATTATGATGGCAACAAAGAATCAAAACATGCACAACACACTATATTATTAGTAATAGGTTTTTCATTTGACCCGACGAGACCACACGACGCTTGCAGACCACAGCACGAACAGTTCACCAGCCACACTCCACGAAAGCAAGTAGTGTTACTCCTGACAAGTCTTGTTTCGTTCCATAAAGTTGACGGGGAACTCATCAGAGGAGAAGCAGTTGTTGAATGAAGGGGTTAAGCTGAATAATGCTATTTTATAGAGAAGATACCGGCGCAAGGTGTAAACACTCAACTAACTCACATATGTGACAAATCAACACAAAAGGAATAGTGCAGAATGGAGGTGTTATGATGTGTTCATTCAACAACTGCTTCTCCTCTGATGAGTTCCCCGTCAACTTTATGGAACGAAACAAGACTTGTCAGGAGTAACACTACTTGCTTTCGTGGAGTGTGGCTGGTGAACTGTTCGTGCTGTGGTCTGCAAGCGTCGTGTGGTCTCGTCGGGTCAAATGAAAAACCTACTACTACTATTTGACGGACCTAATGAAGATGGCAACAAAGAATTAACACTATATTATTATCGGCTATAGTGATAACTTTAAAATACATGTAGCAATAATATCAAAGTCCCTATTTTGTTACTTTCTTCACGTTGCTTATTTTCATAGTGATACATGTACATGCACATAACAGAATTTTTTGTATGGAAATGCGGGCACTGTCAACTATGCAGCATGCTCCTTTGTCAAAACGCCATGCTGGAAGTATTTCCTTGCCTTTCATGTGTCGATCGAAAAATCGATCGTATCGCATATAGTGATGCATCGGTTATAGTGATAAAATCACGGAAATCAAAAGGGTATGCTATAACCGATACACACCGTACATGACTGTAATGGCAGTAATGGACTCGGATGGCAGTGATAAAAATAATAATGGCAGTAATGCCAGAAAAAAGCGAAAAGCGAAAAGCGATC